TTAATATATATTTAATTAGAATCAAGTTATTTTTATACATATTTGATTTTAATATCTAGATACATGTTATAATGTCTTTTTCAATTAATAATGTTAAAAAAGATTAAGTTTTAAAAAGATATTTTTTAATATGTTGTATATTTTATATTTTATATATTAAGTGATACATTTGTTACAGATATAATGGCTAAAGCACATACTACTAACAAAGCTCCGCGAAAGCAGGGCTTTAAGCGTTCAGGACACAGTATGAATCCCGAACGTCCTACAGAAGGGTTGAAAGGAGTTGCTAAAGTACGAACGAAAGCAACTATTAAAAGATTACAGATGTATCGTAATCAGAGACCGAAACGCAATCGTGCTGGAAAGATCATTAGCCCTGCGCCGTTTCAAGGCTGGAACACTTCTGGAACTACGTCGCGTGTGGAGCCATCCCAAAGATGGTTTGGTAATTCACGAGTCATTTCACAAAATGCTTTGCAAAAATTCCAGAATGAATTAGGAACTGCTATGAAAGATCCTTATAAAGTTGTCATGAAACCTACTCAATTGCCTATAACTTTGCTTCAGCAAAAAGCGGCAAACGCAAGAGTACATTTGTTGGATACAGAAAGTTTTGAAAATGTTTTTGGTCCAAAGAAGATTAGAAAAAGACCGAATTTGGCAACAACGTCGTACAATGAATTGAAGAAATTGGCTGAGGATAGGGAAGATACTTATAACAAGGAGAAAGACTCCAAAGATTACGACCTTGTTCGCGAGGATACTGGCGTAAAGGATGCACAAAGAGATTGGGTCATGTCGGCAGGACAAAGCAAAAGGATATGGAATGAGTTGTACAAAGTCATTGACTCCTCCGATGTTATTTTGCAGATATTGGATGCGAGGGATCCGATGGGAACTAGGTCTCCACCTGTGGAAAAATATCTGAAAATCGAAAAACCTTACAAACATTTAATATTTATCTTAAATAAAGTAGATCTGGTGCCAACGTGGGTCACGCAAAGATGGGTTGCTATTCTGAGCAAAGAATATCCAACGGTTGCTTTTCATGCCTCCTTAACACATCCTTTTGGCAAAGGTTCTCTGATAAATTTATTAAGGCAATTTGCAAAATTACACGTTGATAAAAAACAGATCAGTGTTGGTTTCATAGGATATCCTAATACAGGAAAAAGTTCCATTATAAACACCTTGCGTTCCAAAAAGGTTTGTAAAGTGGCGCCTATAGCTGGAGAAACAAAAGTGTGGCAGTACATAACTCTTATGCGTCGTATCTATTTGATAGATTGTCCCGGTGTCGTTTATCCATCGACGGAAACTGACACTGAGAAGGTATTGAAGGGAGTAGTAAGAGTAGAACTCGTTCAGAATCCAGAAGATTACATCGTCTCCGTCCTAGAAAGAGTGAAACCTGAGTACATTCGTAAGACATACAAAATAAATGTATGGATAGATCATGTTGATTTCTTGGAAAAATTGGCGCGTCGAAGCGGCAAGCTTCTAAAGAAAGGAGAACCTGACATTGCAATTGCTGCACGTATGGTACTCAATGACTGGCAACGTGGTAAATTGCCTTTTTATGTTGCACCTGTGGGCTACGAGGAACCTTTATTAAATCAAACGGCTAATACCAATGAAATTGATATCATACAAGATAATGTATTAAAAATCACCGATAATAAAGAAACACAAGAAACTGATAATCTACTTTCAAAAGAAATAATAAAGAATCAGCTGACAGTGACACAAGATTTTAGAAAAATACGCGTTGGATTGCCTTATTCTGGTAACGATGTTAAGACTCTAGAGCAGGATAAATCTTTCAATGAAAGTATCGTAGAGGATGATAGCAGTGTGGAAAGTGACTCGGAATCAGAAAATGCGAACACAAAAAATGACTCGCGTATCATAGAAGATAAATCTGATTTACAAGAAAATTTAGATGATCGAGACAGTATGAACGATTCTTCGAATAATGATAATAATGTTCTCAATGATAACACAGATAAAAAAGATGATATGAATCAAAGCAATGAGTATTCAGATTCAGAATTTTTGCCTATCGCACAAGATAATCTGAAACAGAGTGTATTCGATGTTGTAGACAATGAATATGATTCCAGCGATACTGAAATGTTTCCTTCTAAAACAGTCTCAAGTAATGATATACAAAGTGTCTCATCAATATCTCGTAAAAAAATGAAAGAAAAATTAACAAGCAAGCAACGAAGAGCTATAGATCGTGCTAGTAAAAGAAAAAAGATCGGAAGCAATTTCTACGAAGTCACAAATGTGAAGAACAGGAATAAAAATAGAAGAATACCTAAGGTCAAGAGAAAATAAATCTATTTTAAGATAAATTAATTTACTCAAATATTTGTAAAATAAAGAAAACTTAATGAAGTATTGTAAAATATATATTTTATACATATAATCATTAATTTTGCTAAATTATAAATATATACACATTCATTTTCTTCTATAACTTGCCTTGTCCTTTTATCGTTTAACGATTTGCAAAGGATGAAGCAAAATAATGTGTAACATAGTTACATATGTAGCGCTATTATTTATGTTGCATTATCGTGCAATCATAAATGTATTTATATGTGACTTGATATTTCAAAATATTTTCTACTTTTTTCCTATTATATATTGCCTATATCCAATCATGTTTAATAAAATATAATATGACCTTTCGCAATCGTTGCATGAACAATTGGTTCCCTTGGTAAGTCATCAAAACGCTTTTCATATTCTCATGCTTCAATTCGATCTCCTGCACGTCTAATGTGAGTATCTTAAGCATGAAGAACAAATGCATAGACTCGAGCCTGGCATCAGTGAACAGCTTAGCATCGAATTTCTCTCTGCTAAATGGCTCGATATCGCAACCCATTCGATTCAGCACAGCCAAAAATGTCTCGTGATAGAGATCTATCAGTTCTTCGATATGATCATCGCTCGAAATGATCTCTGTGCTAGAGAACAGGAAAAAGACCATCTCACGCAATGGACTGAAAAATAAATAATTCTGAAAATCCACGAATTTAATATCGTCTATATGACCGTTCTCATTACGGTGGAACATGATGTTGTTCACCCAAAAGTCCGCGTGGATAATAGTGGACCACGGTTCATCGGGCGTTTTTGTCCAGAAACCATGTGTGAACGAGTCACGAACGGCAGCTTCGCATCGATCGACATAAACAGACAATTCTGAGTCCCCTGCTATCCTCTTCAGCATATCTTCTTGGAAGTGCTCAAACTCCTCAGTATTAAACTCCAAGCATTTACTGCGTCCTTTTAATATCTCGAAATACTCCGGTCGCTTGTACTTTGTAGCCATCCCTAGCGCATGAAATCTCGCCATCGCCCGTATCGCGACTCTCGAGTGTTCAAGATCGCATCCTACAATTCAAACAAAAAAGTTATGCATTTTTTATAATAGATACCAACTCTGACTAAATGTATTTACATCTTCTAATTAGTCTAATAGTATAATTTAGTTATCTTAAAATATGTAGAGATTCGCATAATCAGTGAAAACGCAATGTGATGCAATTGTATTGATCTTATATGAAATATTTTTCACGATTTTATAAAAATCATTGTAATGCTACTCGATATATTTCCTGAATATATTAAGAGAAATCGCATAAAACTTGAAAAAAATGGGATCAAGGGAATTGACATTACAAATTATTTTTTTACTGACATCATAAATCATGCTGATAAGAAAAAAAAGGTAAATCATTGTATTACGATAAATGACAAATCTCTTGTAATTGATTTATTATGCTGTATTGAGTATTGTGTCTTTAAATAAACGGAGTTAATTTTAATCATTATTATTGTATTAACAATTTATACAATTTATGAAATTATTATATTAACTGTGAATTTATTATATTAACTGTTTTTATTATATTTATTTTTTTTTTATATATTACAAAATATCCGTGAGGAAACCTGTAAATTTCTATAACATATTCTAGAAGTCATTTTAAATAAAAAAGTTCAGATACATTAGGTCAGTTCAGTTATCGAAATATAGATAATTTTATGAATATTATTACAGGAGAGAAAAATATTAAACATTTATAAGTTAAAAATATTTAACTTTTAGATAATCTGTGAATATAACAAACAGCAGCCTATTTGTAAACAAAAATGGGAAATTTCAGAATAATATTAAGGGAAAATAATATTCACCTAATAAAATAATAAATTTATAAAATTTAATAAAAGTTATAAATATCTGGCATTTTTCATCTGTTACAATATTAAAATTATCTAAAATTGTCTTCATAACTGAAGCGAATTGACCTATAGACCATATATAGCTAGAGTTGCTATCTGTCTTTCCTGGACAACGTCTCTTGTTTTATTGTTCGAGTGTTCGGGAATGTCTGAGGAGATTTTTTGAAAGCGTCCGGGATAATTATAAGCGTTCAAAAATTTTCTATGTACAGGGTGTCCAATAAGTTTTGACGCTCATGTCTAGATAAGGCAAACTAAATTGAGTCGAAAAGTTCTCTTTTGCAATTTTCGCAACAGTTACTAAAAATAGATAATAGTTACTAAAAATTGCTGATAAGATAATAGTTACTAAAAATTGCTGAATACTGATCTTCAATAATGTTTTTCTCAAATACTATCAACTTTACAGAAAAATTGCAACAGACAAAAATTGTTAATTTTCTTCTTAGAACTTTTAAGAATTTTTTTAGAATTTTTTATCAACTTTTTAGTATTGCATTTAGTATTGCATTTTCTTCTTATTGGCAATTATTTTTACCAACATGAGAAAATACAATATTAACAAATTTTGAAAAAATTCTCAGAATTTTCTGAAAATAAACAATTTTTGTCTTTCGTTGTTTTTCTATAAAGTTAATAGTATTTGAGTAAAAAATTATTAAAAACCAATATTTAGTAATTTTTAGTAATTAATATCTGTTGTTAACTGTTGCGAAAATTGCAAAATGTGATACAGGACTTTTTGATCCAATTTATTCCATTTCTATCTACACACGAGCGTTTTGTCAAAATTTATTGGACACCCTGTATTTTGCTTTGACCTCTCCCGCGCTACTTTATATTAATCTCGATCTACAATGACTACGTAGTCTCAACTAATATCAAAATGTGATTTTTTTTTTTAATTAATTTATTATGTGTAAAATAAAAACTAATAAACTATTATTAATATGAATTTTTTATATTTTTTATGTATTTATTTATTTTAAAAATACTAATAAGAACATTAAGTAGAAACATTTAAAACCTGTAATAAAATTTTATTTTAAATAAAAAGATTCTAGATTTATTTTCCAATTTAAATTGCTTTTTGTTCTAAGTGTGGATAAATAATTAGATGTAATATAATTATTTAGTGACTGTTCTGATCAATTTTTACCAATCCATACAAATTTTTGTACGTATCCGAAGTTATAAAGGAAATGATCGAGGCTTTTGCTTAGCAAGTTTTAGTATTAAAAATTTTGATATGATACTTCTATTTATAATAAATTTTTTTCTTTAGAATGATTTCTAGAATACATTTTAGAAATTTGTCGATTTTCTCACAAAATACTCATCATTTTTATAAAGACTGTGTTAATCGTATTATAAATAAGAATTTAAATAAACATTAACATTAACATATTAAATTATAAACTTTTCATTAGAAATTCGAGGAGTTCACAAATAATTTATTATATTAAAATGAACATTTTTCTCTAGTTTCTAAATTATAGAAATTTTTAATTCAAAGGACGATAAATTCATTTAGAACCTCGCTCATTCTCTGCCTCTCTCACCTCCGCGTCACTTCGGTAAAACTTTAAATATGATTTTTTCAACTTTCCCCGCCGATAAAAAAGTTGGATTTGAATTATTGCGCGATAGATTTCATTATATTCTAAATGAATTTATCGGTTTCAGAGATTCCATCTTTAGGGCAGAAATCCCCCTATACCATGGGCATTCTCCTTTTAAATATTCATAAGAATATTAAAATAAGCTCAAAGTTTCACTAATGTATTTCAAATAAATAAGGTATTTAATGCGTTACCTTTAGTTCTTTCGCCGTTATAATAACCACGTGTCCTTAAGTTTTCCATTAGAATAACAGCATTATCATCGAAATCGACATTTGAAGTCAGCGATAATCGAGACTGATAATATTTAGGCAATATGTCAAATACTTCATTCTCCTTCAAGCCCATTTCTTTTTCCAATTCTTGATAATAAGGTACGATGTTTTCATACATGAAGATTTCCTTTTTGAATGTGAACGGGGAATCAAAGATTTGTCGTTGGAATTCCGTTGGTGGCGGCATCTTTGCAATGAGATAAAGATCTTCCTTTTCTGACTCATCATTGCGCTTAATTATGGCATGAACACTTAAAATGGTACTACCATAATTCTCGCCAGGCTGCAGCAAATTCTTAGTCGTATAATGGATCACTATCAACTGATCGCCGAATGTACGACTCAATATCGGTTGCAATTCGCGCAGTTCAATCGTCTTCAATTCTTGCTGATCGTTGCTCATGATTATCGCACAGGCAAATAATATCAGGAAAAACTCGTATCTACATTAATTATCACGTTTCGTGTCGTGAGCGGACTGTACGAGTCGAGATAATACGTATGAATGAAGCGCGCGCGTATCTCTGCATGTCCCACATCGGGCAATCATTTTATTTGTAATAGCTACAACCATTGCCACTGCCACCGCCGCCTTCGTCTCGGCTGGTGGAGGTATGATCCGCCTCCTCCCTAGTCTCATAATATTTCTACATCGTTACGTCACTATTCGTCAACTATGTTGCCTATATGTACTTTGTACATGCCGGATGAGATTAATTTCCGCGTGCACATTATTGCATCACATGTGCAAAGTTTTGTTAAATGCCGTTTTTCCGTTCTTGGAACGATGGAGATTTCCCTTGCCAATGATTGTCAACTTCGCTTCTCTCACTTTCAATTCCACAATCAGTTTGTCTCTGTTTCTCTTCGAGGGATCTACTGGACTATTATGTGATTCACAATCTCCGTGTTCTATTTGTCACTATTTCTACAATAATCGCACTGTGTTGCACAATAAGCATCTTCAGCGAATATAATACTCATGTATTATATTTGTTTTGTAGTCACTTATTGCAGTTAAAAAACTATGTTATTGCCTTGCCAATTTTTTATGTTGGGAAGGAAGATTAGATTAAATAATCTCGGATCATAATCACTGAAAATGCTCCTGTAATACGGCAGTAAAAAGGATATTTTTATTTCTGAAATAACAGAATAATGATATAAAAATATATTTTTCTAGCATTCATATGGCAGTTGTGTAAGATAGTATATATATATAATTTGTATATGTAAATATACGATTAAAATAGAGAACATAAAATATAAATATATTGCATTATATAATCTCTAATCATTCTAGCTTCATAGCCTTATCATCCATACGTTAAAACTTTCGATTTTTATCTCCGTGTAAATTCATTATAACGTTTACAAATTGCGATGATGACAAAATCTTTATATTGGCCGATTTTCTTGCTCGATTAATTTGCTATGAATGTCCCATAAATTCTACAAAAAAGATTTAATTATATAGGATAAATTTAATTATATAGGATTGTGATCATCATTATAACAAATTTGCATAAAAAATAAGAATAGATAAACATAGAGTTAATATCTTATCTCTAATCTATCTAATATATTCTTTTTATTAAAAGATATTTTTTATAAGAAGGAAAATGGATATGTATAACTCGTATAATACAGAAAATTTTGATTGAGCATAAAAGTCATGAAAGTAACTACCGTTTCAATTGTTTTGCACTGTACGGCGGGGGATAGCATTTCCATCTTCCTCAATCAATTTACGATGTACATCACTGAGTGCCTAAATAATATATAAATTGAATACAAGACGCAATTTCAATTGTGCCTGAATGTAATCAATGTCTCTACTTCATGACAAAAAAAAAAGTGCTAAATCATGATATCATGATATCATGACGACAAGATAGATGAGATTACCTTGAAGTATTTAACAGTTTTCACACGTAACTCCAGAGTTGCGTCTTCATCACAAATTATAAGCGTACGAGGATGTTGTTGAAACGCAGATACTGTCCACATATGGTTAATGCCTTCTTCTATAGCTTTGTAAAGAGCAAAAGCTTTGTGAGATCCGGTGATAAGAATCATCACTTCCTTTGCGTCCATTACGGTACCGACGCCTACAGTTAGTGCTTGTTTTGGTACTTTGTTAATATCATTTCCGAAAAATCTTGCGTTGGCTTCCAAAGTGTCTTGCGCAAGAGTTTTCACTCGTGTGCGAGAAGCTAATGACGAACCTGGCTCATTGAAGGCTATATGTCCGTCTGGTCCGATACCTGTAAATAATTTTAAAAATTATTTTCAAATTTTACATCTAAAAATCTCTTGTTTAGATTTAATGAAACTGTTGTTGTACCTCCGATGAACAATTCTACTCCGCCAGCTTCTTTGATCATTTTCTCAAAATTATCACACTCTTTTTCAAGATCCGTCGCATTTCCATCAAGTATGTGCACATTTTTCGGGTCGATATCTATATGTTTGAAGAAATTATTGTACATATAAAAGTGATAAGATTCTGGGTGATCTCTCGGTAAATCAACATATTCGTCCATATTGAATGTCTTAACATACTTGAAGGAAATTTTGCCTTGTTGATAATATTCTATAAGCTTTTTATACATTCCCAAAGGTGTTCCTCCTTGATGGAAACGAAACAAAAAGAAAAGATTATTAAGATGATAATATAGCATATTAATAACATATAATTAATAATGAAATATATTTAAAACAGTTAGTGTTAATTTAATTATTAAATATTGATTTATCTTTTTACTTTATTAGTATTATATACCTGTAGGGAGACCGAGAACAAAATATTTGTTCTCATTAGGATTAAAATCATTGATTCTCTTTAAAACATACTTCGCAGACCATTCTGCGACATAGTTCACGTTATCACAAATTACGAGACGCATAATAAATATATTAATTGCACACAATCCAACAAATGCACACTGTAACATAAATAGATATACAATTAATATCATTTTAATATTGAATTAATATTGAATTATTATCAAATCTAATTATGGACGATTCTATATCATAAATCAGATAGCGAATAAATGAGTGTTTTTTTCTCTTTCAGAATTTTTTGTTCTTACGTAATATTAAAAAAAAAATATAT